CCCCCCCCCCCCCATAGCTATCTTGATTTGTTTTAATAAAACTGATCATTTTTGTCAAGTGGCCAGATATCATAATTCTTTGTAGTAGGTTATCTCGATCATCACATTTTTTTTTTTTAAACTTACAAATTCAAATTAGTCTCACCACAGGAGTATTTGGCTTGGTGGTAACAGAGAGATTGTGTGTTGTCAATAGCTGTCTGTAACAGAGGGTGTTAAAGAGGGGGGGGGGGGGGGGGGGTTGGGGGGGGGGGGGGGGGGGGGTTAACAACTCGATGTATATCATGTTACAATAAGCTTGTCCATGCGCATGGTGCTCAACTTTTGACATGAACTAGAAATTATTTTCTTATCTGGGGAAAAAGGGGAATGCCTACCTTGATGTCTATCTCGTTGTATTATTTCTTATTCTCTCAAAGGGAGTAGTGGCCCTTTGATACTTAAGTAGATTTGGGCACAATGTTCAAAGTGATCATGTTTCTTTTTATTTATGATATCTAAATGGTAAACACATGCCCTCTCTAAAGAACGTCTGCCCTCTCTAAAGAACGTCTGCTACACTAATAGGGGGAAAGTGGGGGTGGGGGTTAAATATCAACCATGGTGACAAGACCTGGTGTGATCATGAGACCAACACCACACAAAGTAAATGTCTTTTTTTTTCTCTTTTTTTATATATATATAAAGTGTATATTTTATGAATGGCATCAATGAAGCAATGAGTGAGCTTTGGACTGCCATCACCAATTTGATGACCCCATTTACTGCCCTACTTTTAGATATCCATTAATGGGATACACCTGTGTTGCCAAATGTGTGTGGCTGATGTGCACTGAATGTTTGACATTGTGGGTTTTGAGAGTATTTTTGACAATGTGGGTTTAGAGAGTATGTTTGACCATGTGGGTTTAGAGAGTATGTTTGACCATGTGGGTTTAGAGAGTATGTTTGACAATGTGGGTTTAGAGAGTATGTTTGACAATGTGGTTAGAGAGTATGTTTGACAATGTGGGTTTAGAAGAGTCTGTTTGACCATGTGGGTTTAGAGAGTCTGTTTGACTGACATTGCAGCAGGCAGGGGTTTGTGTGTGTTGTCTTCATGTAGAGGCCTTAAACAATTGTTTTGGTGGTGGTGTTGTTTTTTGTCCCGTTTTATCACCAGCAGTTTTCCTTGCCATGCCCATGCCCCCCCCCCCCAGAACTCTGTCTCTTTGTTTGCATTCTTTCAGTGGAAATTAATTCAATTTGATCAAACATGAACTTCATGATCTCAACGCACATTTTAATTGTGTCTGATGTTCAAAAACTTTCTGATTTGTTTAAAGCGACTGTATTCTGCAAATTTTCAAAAAACCATTTTTTATGACATTTACAAGTTTGATTCTATGCCTAAGTACTTGACCTCATGGTTGTTTTTCGTGTTTGAGATAAAAATAAAAAAATGTTAAAATTTGCCATGAAATAAATGAAAATTGCTTATTGGGTGGTTTGGACCTGGTTGCCAGGTTGCTCAAGAGTTTTTAAAATCTAAATCATCTCTAACTTAATCTTGTTGGATCATCCTCTTAGAAATCGCTACGATGATAGGCTTGGAAATAAAATTTTATTTTTTGTCTGCTCTCTTCTTATGCAATCCTTCTCTCCCCCCCCCCCCCCCCCCCCCTCCTTT